GTAGTGGAGTGAGTAGGTGAGGTGTCGAATAGAGTGAGTATTAGATTACGGTTTGAAGTATGTGATGTCATGTGGTTGTGTGTAGTTGGTGAGTAGTAATAGTGGTGTGAGCACGGTAGTGCGTAGGTGTAGAACGTCGAGTGGTGTTGTGAGGGAGTATGTTAGGTAGGTGATGGTGATGAGCCAGAAGGTGAGGTGGAGTAGTGGGTTGTGGAGAGAGTAGGTGAGGTGTCGAATAGAGTGACTATTACATTACGGTGTAAAGTAGGTGATGTCATGTGGTTGTGTGTAGTTGGTGAGTAGTACTAGTGGTGTGAGGACGGCAGTGTGTAGGTGTGACCGTAGATGTAGAACGTCGAGTGATATTGTGAGAGAGTAGCTGAAGTATAGAATGGCCACAAGCCAGAAGGTGAGGAGGTATAGGAGGAAGGGTTGGCGGATGCAGGTGAGGAATTGGTTGATTGCGTCGAGGAGTTGTTTGAATGCGTTGTTGATGACTTTTGTGAGCTGCGTGGAGAATTGGTGGCATATGCGGAGCCAGTCGGGTTTGGTTTTACCAGTGCTTGAGTCGTAACCATTTAAAGCAGCTGCGTAATAGTACGTGAAGCCGTATTTGAAGAAAAGGGGTAGGACGTCACCGCATTGGACGATGGTGGGACATTTACATTGGTTGCCATGTTCACCTGCATTGTGTTGATGTTTGCAATGCGTACAGTGTTCACATTTAAGATTGTTGAACTCTGTAAGTAATACTTTAAGACCACTTTTGAGGACATCCGTGAGGTACACAATACGTGATAGATAGGACATAGCGAAAATTTCAGAGATATTACAATAGATACTATAGGAGAGCGATTGGAGGTAATTGCCACAGGTTTTGTCTTTGTTACATTCACTGTTGTAGAGGGTGTAGAGGTCGGCATCGGAGCTGTGATTGGTGCCGTTATGTTTTTTGCCAGCTACGGTTTTGAGAGCGTCAGTGATGGAGCTGGCATCTTTACAATTCCATGGTATTTTTGTGTCGACACCACCATTTTTCAAGAAAAACCCAGCATGGAGGAAGAAAGAGAAGAGATCACCGACTGTACGGGGGGTACGTAGGCTGCAGCACATTAGACATATGATTATGTTGTCGAGACTGACGGAGTTACGGTCATTTTTGTCTTGAGTGGAGTAATATAGTATCCAATATATACAGTAACCCGCGCGAGGAGACTGTGATAGACAGTCTTTGTTGAATCCCATAGGGACGGGGCAATATAAATGAAACTGACGATGGGAAATATGGTCGGTGTAAGGTAACTTCGTGTTATCATTGGCACATTGGAAACCGGTTAGACAATCTGTTAGGAAAGCTTGGAGGGGGGAGGGGTTGGTGGAGCCGCATTTTTGGGTGTGGTCCTTGGAATCAGCTTGTTGGCATATCCATGATTTTAGTGGTGTGAGCACGGCAGTGCCATTGGTATTAATAGCAGTGCCGTATTTACAATAATACCAACCGCAAGCATTTCCCAAGTCGAATTTACATTGTCTTTTGAGGAAATATAATTGAGTCAATAAAAAGTAAACGATGTCCCATAGAACAGGGAATAATGCATTAGCTGTAGTGGGATATTCAAAGTTGAAAGCAGTATTAGAGTAGATGTCATGGAAGCCCTTTGGGGATTTAGGTGTTGTGTTGTCACAAATTGTTCCTTGCATAGTGCATAGGACCACAGCGGCATAGTGGCATGTTGTTGATATATAGCAAGAGTGAGGATCGTTAGTGGTTAAGGTAGGACCACTAACGAATTCAATGCTACCCTTTGTGCCAGAATTTTCAGTGACTTTAGTTATAGCACTTTTTATCACATCAGGTGCTAGCTGGAAACACCCACTATAGGGCAGAGCCATGAGCCAATAGAGCATTTCCCTTATACTACAGGGGACCCGATTAGGGTCACCATTTCTGAATGTAGATTGGAAATGGTATTGCGATGCGATGTAGAGACTGGAGAGGGGGTGGACGTTGGCATTGCCAGATTTAGTTTTGGTTAGTACTTCGTTGATGTATTTCGAGTAGTCGCCGTTGACTTTGGCACCGTTTGTGAATTCTGTGAATTGTTGGCCAAGTAATTCTTGTACAGCATTAGCTTTTTTATTCTGATTTAGTTGATTACTATCGTAGCCTGAGCAGACGAAATAGATGCCGAGCGGGTTGGTTTCGTGAATGTTACCCGTGGTCCAATTTTTAGCATTACCTTTATCACATTGCCAATACAAATAGGTCAAACCACTGAAAATTACGGGGATAGTGCCGAGGAAGATTGAAGCACATTGTTGTTGGTCATTCTTATTACAGGTGGCATTCCAGTTGGCGTCATCTTTATAGGAGGACGTGTACTTTGTACCATTACCATTACCTTTGTTACCAATACCACTACCGTTCAAGTTACCATTATTGTAACCAATGAATGCTTTCAACTTATCGGCCAATGTTTTGATCAAATTAGTACCATTGCTTTGATTCAACTGTTGTTTTACTGTTTCAAGCACTTCTTTATCCTTTTCAAGTTTCGTTTTGGCAGCACCATTAGCACCATTGTGTTTGTTAATTTCCTCAGTCAAGTAACTTTCCGCCTTCTGTAGTAACTTCGCAACCTCCTTACCGAGATCAGTGGAACCATCACCACCATTCAACCCATCTTTACCACAAACACATAGAATCCAATCAATACATTCTTTCAGGTTACCCGGGGGACACAACAAAGAGGTATGTTGAGAACCATTGGAATCACAACCACAAACCTTCGCCATTAAAATAACCACCTTACAACTATTCACATTCTTCCACAGATAACGTATATGTTCCTCATCACTAACCGACATGGGGGGATATATAGGTGCAACTGCTACACCACACGTTTGGGACAACACCTAGTGTCACTCAGACTGACAAAATATTCTTCACATATTTTCTCTGTCACCCCTTTAAAAACATGTTTCAGTAACCCACGTTCTGCGTCTGTGCACCCATGTTCCGAGTTGAACCACTTGAGACAGGCCCTTGCCACCCTCGGTTGCACGCCGACTATCGCCAACAGTTTGTCCCAACCCGTGGTTGCATATTTTCCACCTTCATCGAACGGCTCGAAATGTGCCCCTAGGTTACGCAGTGCCATGGCTGTGTCCATCCGTCTGTGGTGTATCCACCCCCGTATAGCCTCGGCTTCGGCCAGGGTGACCACCACGAACCTACGTCCCGCATCCA